CTGTAATGGAATACATTTTAAAAGTAACCTTCCCAACACTGCCTGTATGATCACCTGACAATCCACATCTGCTTCTTGGATGGGCTGTACCATTAGGCAAAATGCTAAAAACAAGGAAATAAATAAAGCTTACAGTGCTACGTCCAGTTGTCTGAGGTACAGACAACATGAATGGCAATGGTGGTGATGGTAATCTTTATCAGTAGGGCCAGCTGTAAAACTTGTGGAAATACAGCAATAAGTCTGAAATTTTATGCACTCTGTCATATTTTTGTAAAAGCCATCCAGTGGGCTAGACTAGAGTCTTTGCAGGCCAACTTTGGACTCCCAAACCTTATGTTTGACATCTCTGCCTTAGAGGGTGTCACTTAGAATCAAAAAATAAAATGATTAGGAACTTTTCTTAGCTGACTAAGTAAGAAAAAGTAGTACGGTTATAACATAAACAATTCTTTCATGCTTTTTATGGGGTGTACAAATTCAGACACACACTTACAGACAATTTACACCACGTCCAATGTATGAGCATTTCAGAGACTACTTACTGAAAACCCAGAACCATGCAAGAAGCCTTAAAAACTCAATCTTGTGTGCCACCTGGTGTCTGCAAAGGCATACTGCAGCATATGCACCATGCCCCAGCTAAATTGAGTTTGAAAACAGAGTCATTTACAATTTTCAGCAATTGCTAAGAAACGTTTTTTGAATCCATCCATTTAGGACTGAACAGGCTGGGCAGGTCACAGCCCATTGCTTCTCTTGAAAGTTTCCACCCTACATTTACAAAAACACTCTTGCAAAATCTCACAAACACATCAAAACAGCTGTGTTTTGATGTGCTTCAAACCACACCGTTTTATCTGATCATGCATGCAATCAAATGAAGAACATACTGCATAATGCATTCAGAGCACACCACATCAAAAAAATTGAAAACAACTGGTGCAGGAACTGGAACTTGGACCTTTAATCTCAAGTGGTTGTTTCACAATATTACAATGATTACCAAAATATAAAGCAGACATGTCTCTCATATTATTTCTGCATAATAGTGTTGAATTTAAGTCTCTCTCTGTTTTTGTGGGTTCTGGCTTCTATCGCTTCAACTTTTGGCATCTGTGGTCAATGTTCTGCATCGAATTATTGCGCAAATTGTGCTTCAGTGAGTGAGAGTGTGTTTAGTTTGTGGTGTATGGTGTACTTGGGGAACTCCTCCCAGATCTGGACAATCTGAGGGGCAACCTGGCAGCATCAGATGGACCGAGACATAATATCCCAGAGGTGTTCTATTGGATTTAGTTCAGACAAGCTTGGGAACCAGTAAGTAGTATCAGTTCCTAGATCAGTTCCAGATCCTTCAAGAACTGCCTGCATACTCTGGGCAATGTCGTGCACCAGAAGGAACCCAGGACCCACTGCACCAGGTCTGACAGTGGGTCCAAGGATTTTAAACCCTTTACCTCATGACAGTCAGGGTGCCATTGCCTAGCCGGAAAAGGTCTGCACATCCCTTCACCACCAAACTTGTCAAGCTGAATGTAACAGCAGCAAAATGTTTTCCACAAGTTCTGCAGACTCTTTCATATCTGTCACATGTATTCATGGTGAATGTGTTCTCATCTGCAAAAAGCACAGAGCACCAGGCGCCAGTCAGCTCTGCTACTCTATGGCAAATGACAACTGAGCTCCATGGTGCCAGGCAGTGAGCACGGGTCCCACTACAGGATATCAGACCCTCAGGCCACCATCATGAAACCTGTCTCTAATTGTTTGGAGAAAGACATTCATGCCAGTGGCCTGCTGGAGGTCATTTTTGCAGCGCTGGCAGTGCTCATCCAGTTCCACAAAGGAGCAGATACTGGTCCTGCTGATTAGTAACTGGGTAGCATCTGTGGTAACTTTCTGTCTCCTGGAATCGCCTCCATGCATTGACACCGTACTAGGAGACACACCAAGCCATCTGGAATTGGATTGCCAGTGCAACCTCTGTAGGGTCCAGGTATGGCTTCATGTTGCCAGTAGTGACACAGAACCTGGCCAAATGTAAAACAAGTGAAAAACAGTCAGAAAAAAGAAGGGGAAAAAGATTCTCTAGTCTAGCTCCTCTACTGCCCCTGTTGTTAATTTCACCAAATCAGGACCAGGAGGAGGAGTTGGCCGTCCGACTGGGGTCTGGAGTGTGGGGCCTCCCTGCTGCTG